GATATTTTTAAATATTGGTGTTGAGAAACCAACTACTAATGGGTCCCCAAACCTTTGGCACCTGCAAGGGTTTTACTTTTCCTTTTCATAAAAATACTGGAATAGGGCTTAATGGATTGGCCCGTTTTTAGATAATAAAAAACAAATTTTGGTATAAGATCAAAGTGTGGCTTTACCATATATTTAGTAGGATATTAAAAAATAACACAATGACTATTATAACAAAATATCTTCTATTTCTGTCAACATGTGTGATCCACTTTCTCTGTGCCTACATTTTAAAAAGAATAAATAAAACAGACATAATTCTTATTTAATTCTATCAATAAGTAATTTCATCCATGGACACACAAACTAATTGAAAAAAATTTATCTATCCATCTCATTAAGAGATGCATTACCAGCAAATGATTAGTTTATATTTAACAGTTACCTACCACAAAATGTGCTGTCCTGTCTAATTTTTAAGCAACCACGTACCCGTAATAATTGTTAAGACAATTCAATCTAAAAGAAACTTTTAAATATTTGGAGTCTTACAGCCTAAATATATACCTATATTTTATATACATATTTTTATTGTATATTATAGAGTAAAAACATTTTCAAGTATAAACATATATTAAAGTTTGATGATATGGAGGAGGTAGAATAGAAATAAAAATCCAAGAAATAAAATTAACAATACATATTTTTGAATAGATGGTAGTGAATAGCACATTTCTATGGCTTTTAGATATCATTGCATAAAGTGTGAACTATTTTATTTAAAGTATCAATATTTAAAATTCACCAGGAATTTTATTCTTTGAGTCTAAATAAATATACTAGTTTAAGACAAACTTTATAAAGGTAAAGAATACATCAGCAAGAAAGCAAAAGAGCTTAAAGGCCCTGAAAATCAGTTATTTAGTGTTTTTATTTTGGCTTGAAGGATACAGTGAAATCTGCATTAACCATAGTAGAAATATTCTTTAGTGTCTTTACTACCATTCTGTAAGGTTGAGGGAAGGAAAATTAGGTAAAGTTTGCTGAAAAAATTTTTGAGCTAAGTTTTGGAGCTGTAAGTGATGAAATTTCAGAGGCTTCTCTATGCATTTACAGCTAATTCAAAGTATTTGAATGAATGGAATCTTGTTAGCTCTGCTTGGGTTCTCTGCATTTGGGTAGCCTTCTGTTGGGGCCCATTTTCTTCATATAGTCCTCACCTTTTATAGGAATATGGTATCCCTACCAGAACCTGCATGACTCTTAAATATTTGGTCTTATATTCTAAACTGATAGTCAATACTTATCCCCAAACCTAAATTATTAATGTTTGTCTCCGGATGAAGGCAGTGGGAAAAGCCATTGAAGTGTGTTGACCAGGGTCAATCTGATAACAATAAAAAATAAATGACTGAAACTTCGGTGTAAATAAAAGATTTGTCGGGTGTGGGTGATGAGGAACCTGTTATGAGTCTGTCATGGTAATCCAGGTCCAGGAAGAAATAATCAGCTGCGCTAAGACTGGTAGGAGACGTGGAAAGATCTGGAGAGTTGAGAAATACACAAGTGAAAGATCATGATGCTTGGTGATTAATTGAATGTTGAATGCATTTTTCTTCTCCTGTATTATCTGATTAAATAAGAAAATGTTTTTGTTTGTTACACAGTATTTTTGTTTTCTAGACATCATCTCCAGAAAATTTTTCCACTCTTTCCTAGTCTAAATGTATTAAAGGAAATATTTACACATAATTTTACTAATTTTCCAGAAGCAAATTATGGCAGATATTTCTGAAGTCAGAGATATGACAAGTTGCCTGGCTTAACCTTTCACAGATACTGCAGTATCAAGAGAGGAATTTTAAAGAGAAATTTTGGAATTATATTATGATGCAATTTTAAAAAAAAGCATTGCAAGAGACTATACTTAAATGAATTTTAAATAAAAGGACATGAACTTGGAAAATGCTTTCTAATGCTGACTCATTCACTCTATCAGATGCTTCCTATTTCTGTCATTTTCAATTTAACTAATGTGGTATATCATTTATGGATGATGTTTAAAATTCTGCTAAATTAATAATCTTTAGCATCTGCCCCTCCATGGCTTTCACATTTTCAGTTGCTAAATAGATTTTAATTACATGCATAATCCAAACTAAAGTAAGTGGCAAATTTAAGATGTTTCTGACTTCAAAATATAACTTAGAAAATGATCAAATAACTCAGTTTTTAGTAGGAGGGAGTATATAGGATTAATCTGTTCGTCAATTTTTTTGTTACATTATTTTAATTGTTTTAGCTGTACTGTATTTAATTTATTGTTTTTATTTTCTCTTTTGCTCTTGCCTATCTGGAGTGGTGGGAACCGTGGGAAGGCCAGAGGGATTGGCTTAGAATAAGGGGTAGGAATAGGAGACCAGAACTGAGAGGTTATAGGACTAAGCGGCTAATAAGGACTTTGATTTATACTCTGAATGGATTGGGAAGCCCCTGGAAAGATTTGAGCAGGGACATCGCATGATCAAAAGGCTTTGTTTGACTGCTGTTTTGAGAAAGGGAATCCAGACCTCTGATGAGAAGTAGAGAGTGTGGCAGTTATTAAAGTCACTAAGATCATGGTCATTGATCAGGACGGCAGTGGTATAGGTGGTGAAGTGGTTGGATTTATTGAATCATTTGAAGGCTAAGTTCAATTGATTTGTTTTAGTCTGGATGTGGCATATCAGAGAATGAAAAAAGTTAAGGATAAGCCTAATATTTTTGGCCTGATTAAAGGGAAGGAAGAGTTGATATTTGTTAGATGGCAAAGACTGGCAGAGAAACAGATTTTAAGTACTCAATCTGTCTTCTCAATTTGCTAAGCTTTGGATGCCTGTAGAAGTGAAAGAAGTTGGGTATGTGAGTCAGGAGTTCAGGGGAGACCTTCAGGATGGAACTGGACACTTGGAGGTTGTCAGAATTTTGATTCCTATGCAATGCTATAGCTAAGGGTGCACACGAGCTGTCCAAAGGAGTGAATGCATCAAGGGAACAGGTACCCCGCCAACATTCAATTCTATCCTCTAACTTTTATAGTTAAGTTTTTCTAAAGGAAGGATGGATAGATACATTTTTTAAAGTTTCCTTTTATTGTTCTTTAAAATTTTGAAGTTGCTTTGTCCTTAAATTATGAATGCAATTATATATTCATTTTTCCTGAAGATTGTGATTAGATTTAAAAAGAAAAAAAATTCTCTTTCATATCTTAAATTGCACCACTTTTCTGTTTCATTTTTTTTTTCCTATCAGACATTCTGTTACTTAATCTTGGTCATAGTTTTCACATTCTTGAGGTTCTCCCTTTGTCCAGAGATCCTTGATTTTCCACTTACAATGATGAGTAAGAAGTGGAATTATTTAAGGTAACTGGTGTGGGTTCTCTCTGCCGTTTGTATAGGAAAATTTGTTTTCCTGCCTCTTCTCTCCTTTGAGTGGTGAGGTTTATTGAAAGTTCTGTCAACAATGGACGAGTTTATTATTGACCTAATTCCCTAAGAAGTAATGACCAAGATTCAGAAATTAAGCTCAGGGCATTCAGTTACCAGAATGAGTGAATTTTATTTTGGTGAGCCCAACTTAAAACCTGTTGCTTTTATTTTACCCTTGTAATTCATTATTTTCCTTAGCAAAGTAACTTTTATTTCGATTTCTTTTGGCCAGAGTTCTACACCACACTGTCTATTTAACTGACATGAAACAAAGTGAAATACACATAGTCAACCTTTCAGTGAATTTTGTGGCGTGATGTCCGCCTTTTCCACGTTACCCATTCTGAACATGGAGCCTTTATGTAGCTGGCAAATCAGCCCCTCCCGCCATCCGGTCCATTTCTAGTGTGTTGGGGCTATGGTAACTTCTGTTATGCTCCCTCTGTTCTGTATTTCTGTAAGCTTGTTGCCTTTCAGAAAATTATTGTTCCACTTAGCTTTATTATTATAGATACAGTATTGGTTTATGATTAAGAACTCAAGTAATGAATTTCTCAAGAATGTTCTCAAATTTTCTTTCTCCAATTATTAGCTTTGTGAATTTGAGAAAGTTACTTAAGCCTAGTAAAAATACGGCTTTTTTTCCTTTAAGTTGGGGTAATAATAATACCTAACACATAGGATTACTGTTAGCATTGAGTAAAGAAATATATATCAAGTCCAGTTCCTGGAGACTAGCACATGCTTAATATTACGGTAATATAACGATAATAACATGAGTAATATTATTTTAAAATTTTAATTAGATGGTATAGTGATAGCTTTTATATTCTAATTTATTGTAGGATTACATATAAATTACATAATTTTAATTCTGGAAACATTCACGTACATAGTTTAGGGAAAAAAACATAAGTTAACAAAACAGAATAGCATATGGGTATTTATCTTTATGTTATAAATACACATATATGTGTGTGTGTGTGTATACACACACACACACACACATACACACACACACACACGCCTAATGTCATGGTTCTGCTGAAAACTTCCAATCATAAGAACAGCTCTGGGGGAAAATCACCATTTGCATTTCCAGGATTCTTCTCATTCCTACATTTCTTTTTATAGACTCTGTTTTTTACAGCAGTTTTAGGTTCATAGCAAAATTGAATAGAAGGTACATAGATTTCCCATATGCCCCCATATGCCACAATTACTTGGATTAGTTTAGAATCCAACTGGCTAATTATTAGGAATCTGTGTAGGTAACCCAACTCTGCCCAAGTTTCAATTGGCAAATTTGGATTAATGGAGATTTGCTGATTTGTTTTCCAACAACATAGGGTTTTTTTCAATGACAGGTGTAAAAAAGTACATGGTTCAACTACAATAATTATAACAGCAACAACAAAACCTACCAGACTCCACATAGAAAAAAAATAACTGAAAGCAAAATGAAAGACTAATTAATGTGAATTATCCTGGAGCCAGCCTTTGTAATATCATGTGACTATAACTTTAACTTTCTTTTTTCAGTTTAACGTTCTTCATGGTCAACATAAAGATGAAATGGAAGAAATATCAGGAGATATAAAGGAAGGATCTAAATCTCAAAACACCAAGGACAGAGTGATCTATGAGTTAAGAGCAGAGGTAAGATGTTGGATAAAGAGTAATACAATGTATTTGAAGGTTATTAAATGGTATGCTATTCTAGGAAGTATAACTGGAGAATCTTTGGTTACTTTCTTTTAAAGAATGCTGTGGAAAATCAAAAATAATGTAATCAGATTACATAGGATTTAAAATGCCATGGAATGGCATTGGTCCAATATTATATCTGAATTATCTGAGTATTATAAAGACATATTATTTGACTATAAAAGCACGCTTTAGCTGATACAAGTGTTACTATGAATACATACTTATTAAAGTTTAATTAGCTGCTGGATCTGATGAATTAAGTTATAATCAGGAACAATGACATCCAAGATTTGTTACATGTAGATCATGGTTGAATTAACATGGCAGTTGGCAACTAGCCGCAGGCAGAGCAACCGCACTTTTGTTATAGTTAGTTCATTTCTTAGGTATATCGACCAAAATAGTGGAAACATCTATTTTCCACTCCCACCAATAACAACAACAAATTAATTTTCATGGACTGTACATTCTGTTTTCTTTGTCTTGTGATAAAGGAGAAATTACCGTCCTTGGAGATAGGAGGGGGATTGAACTATTTGTACTTTTTAGAACATTGTGTTAGTGCATTAAACGTGGAAAATCGTAAATTATTTATTTTGTAGCAGATAATTCTGGAAGAGGTCTTAGATACAAATGTGCAGAAACAATTCAGGAAATGGAATTGTTAGGAAAAATACAAGCTGAGAGGAAAGTAATTTGTATTAGAAGGTGTCTTCCATATAAAACTCTGCAAGGACTGAATTCACACCACAGTGTATTTTATATCAGATGAACACAGTGGAAATGAAAATGCAAAGATCTGGGAGCAAAAGTGGCTCATCACTCACTGATTACTTTATTCTGGTCAACTTGTTAAGCCTCTCTTGAGGCTCAGTTTACAAGCTGTAATAGTGAAAGGAAGAATAATACTAGTTATCACACAAGAGTTTTGAGAAGATGACAGACTTCAGGGGGAAAATTGTCCAAGGCAAAGTGCTTTCACTTTGGGGAATTAGCTAAGATGTTCGGAAGAACTATCTCCTCCTGAGCTAACTGGCTCTTCCCTGTGAGCCATATAAAGGTGAGGGTGGGCGTATGGAGAGATCGGTGATGAGTAAGATTGAACTGTTGAGATCAACTCTCCTAACAATTAAGTCAAAAGGGAAAAAATAATGGCTCTTATATCTTTCGTTTTCTAAGAGGAACCTAACCATCAGGGTAGGTGCTGCTTTTTCTTGGCCCTGAGATCTGAGAAGCGTCTTTGATTAAGCGTCGTACAACATGCTGTATACAAGCGTACTTGGGAGATAGAGACAAATACAGAGAAAGGTACACATGGCTGTTATTACTGTCCCCCAGAGTAGAGAGCATTGTCTCATGTCATCATTTTTAGGATACATTGGGAGCAATAGCAACATAGGATCTATGATGAGCTATTTTTTTAGCTCTGAGACTCATTTATTAGTTATGTGACCTTGAGTAAGCTAGTTTATATCTATAGAGCTCAATTCTGTTTTTAAATTAGGATACGAACATTTTACCCCCCTAAAGTCACTCTTCCACAAGACATTCAAGCACTGTGATACATAATTTCACTATTTTTAAATTTCTTACTGAAGCACTGAACACTGAAAGCAAATGTAAACATAAATTAGCTCTCTTTTACTGTGTGCACTTGAATAGTACATTCAATTGAATTAAATTACATAAAGCCTTTTTCAAAAGAAAACCAATATTGGGACAAACAGTAAGCTTGTGTGTGTGTCTGTGTGTGTGTTGTATATGTGAATATATGTGTTCCCTTACATTTTAAATTAGGATAAAAGCTACTTCCTTTCCTTGGGGGGAAGAACATAACATATACTCTATGTTGGCGTTATTTTATTTTTAGACCAGTTATGTTTAGGCCTTAAAATCATATTATAACTTTCTATGTTTGCATAAAAGTCATTGGGCAATTGTATTATAAATTAATTAAAATGTAACCTATTTTTAAAAATCTGTTTACTTTTATTTTTAGATCTATATCCAACAGTGCAGTAAATATGCATCTGCATATACATCTTTAGACATTTAAAAATGGCTCAGGGTAAATTCCTAGAAATGATACAGCTTTTTCAAGAGAATGTTGGTTTTTTAACATTTTATACACACTGCCAAATTGTCCATTAGAAGAATTATATCAATTTACATTCTCACTCACCTGCAATGTATAAACATGCTCATTCTCTAGCCAACAGTATATATTACTGTTTTTAATATTTTCCTAGCTGATAGGCAAAACAATCATTTTAATTTGTTTTTTATTGATCTAAACATACACTTCTAGTTGTCTGCTCATTTTTATTCATATCATCTTTATTATAATAGCTACCATTTACTGAGATTTACAGTACACATCACATATACATTTCCAGGCCACTGAAATATAAAATCTCATTTAATATTTTGACATTCTTATGATCTGTGTGTTCTTGTCTATATTTAATGGAAAGAATCTTAGAGAACTTACCTTGCTCAAGGTTACAAAATAACCTCAAACATTATTTTACCTATGTTCTCGTTGGTTTCCAATTTCTCAGAGGTACACATTCAAGTTCAGATTGTTCAGCAGGTTAGGCAGCTTACCAAAGAGCACCCAGGTCATGAGTGAAATCCCGAAGCCATAGTCACTATCTGATGTCACTACCCTGGTCTGCCCTCACCCTGTGGGTTTACTGAAGCAATGATTCTGGAAATGTGATGGATTTTCAAACAATATACTTGGAATATTTTTAAATGGTATTTTAATATCAAACATTACAAGTTTCTAACCATTGATGATCTCCATACATCATGGACACCTTTTAAAAACTGTTACTAACACCCACCAATTGATGAGACTTTTGCCTTGAAGACTGTGCTTTATTTATCTCTTCAACTGCCCTGCCTCTTTCCAAAGTAGTTTGATGATTGTCTTCCCATTTGGGAAGTCTGATTGGTCAAGGAAATTCAAAATGCAGGTCTGATAAAAAAAAAAAAAGGCCCAAGATTATTTCAATAATTCACTCTTCTGGCTAACGTGTAATGAGGTGAATTCTCCAAGCAGGAAGTCACTTGATAGATGAATATGTCTCAACATACGTATATACACACGTGCACAGTGGACACATTTCATCTTTTCTCCACTCTTAAGATCAAGACCCCTTGAACCGGAAATGAGTTAATTTAGAATGGAAATGAACTGGCATCCTGAGTGAAGAAATCATTACTTCTTTCTACAATCTTACTGCTGCTCAAAAGCAAACTCATACTCAGGAAAGACTCATTCTAGGGGCCAGACTTTTGGGGACAAACATTTTCCAAGGGAAGATAATTAGTTTTTCTGGTGTTATTCCAAAAAACATATATCATTACAGTATCAAATTGTCTGGGATTTTGGTTTCTTATTTCTTATGTGCGTTTTGTTCTTTTCTCTTCTCACCCATCCACACATTTGTATCCTATTTCTGTTCTACTTTGGAGAGATGGGATGGACAGACTTTTCCCTACTTAATCCAGTTAGTCAGCTAAAATCTCAGAACATTAGATGTAAAGCAAACATAAAAGGACTCTCAAAGTTGAAGAGAAGAGGCCTTCCGCTGGGTACCTCGGGACCTAAGATATAACATGGTGGTGAGTCTCCTGAGTTTTCTTTTGGCTGCATAAATCCCAGAGCTGGAGCCGAAGAAGCCAGCAGCCTGGAAACACCGACATGCACAGATGAAAACAAAAACAAAAACAAAATGCAACCAAAGTCGGCTTGCTCTAGTCAAAGGACTAGGGATGGGTCAGCTCAGCAAGACAAAAAATTCTCAGGCAATAATTGCTGTAATCCAGCCAAATCCTCCAGAAAAGTACTACAGTGGTGCCCCACCCAACTCCTGTGAGTACAGCTGATCGGGAGCCTAGACTTCCACCCTTGCTAAGCAGCAGAGAGGGGCCCAGTCCTTTCTTATGAAATGGTAGAGAGGAGGCTGAGTCGGAGCCCGAGTTTCATCCCGGTTGGGCAGCAATGAGACCCACAGACCTCAGGGCGTCGGTGGAAATCACATAGGGAGTCTCTACTTTCACCTCCACGCTCTGCCAACTAAGGAGGTCTCGTGAGTAGCTGGAGCTCCCGTCCTCACCCAGCAGGAACGAAGAGCACCTCTAACTTGGTATCAGGGGGGGTCGGTGAGGAGCTTCGAAGGAACAAGTCAGTGCTGCCCCTTACCCTCCAGACTGGGGTGTCAGAGGAACCCACCCAAATGCAGAATGTTTAGATAAGATCCAGAGTCTCATAATGTAATATCCAAAATGTCCAGGACACAGTGGAACCTTACTCATCATATCAAGAACCAAAATATCTCAAAGTGAATGAAAGAAGACAATCAACAAATGCCAATATCAAAAAGGCAGGAAAGTTTTCATTTCTCGGCAGGAATTTTAAAGTGGCCGTCATAAAAATGCTTTAATGAGCAATTGTGAACATGCTTGAAACAAGTGGGAAAAAAAACTGGAAATTTTCAGTAAAGGAAATAGGAAGTCTCAGCAGAGAAATAGAAGATACTAAGAAGAAAAATGAAAAAGTTAAGAAGGAAAAACACAATTAGTAAAATGTTTTAAAATTGTGAATGGAAGGGGCAGAGGAAAGTGCTTGAAGACAGAACAACAGAACTTGAAGACAGAATAATAGAAATTACCCAATCTGAGTAACAGAAAGAAAATAGTCTGGGGGGAAAAAAAAGCCTTTGCTAACAGGGTAGGAGCCTGTGGGATGATAATAAAAGATCAAACACTGACGCTACTGGAGGCCAGTTTGAAAGGAGAAATTGTGTGGGCTGAACATTACTCAAAGAAATAAAGAGTGAAAAATTTCCAAATTTAAGAAAGAACCAAGTATATTCATTTTTTCTCTCTTTCAGAATGTCTGTATTTATTCACTTTTTAAAAAATCTGCCTCCTAATTA